TTGTTTGTAATCTAAGAAATAAGTGGGAGGTGCCAGGAGGAGTATTATGCAATATAAAGAGTGTGTTGTGGAAATTTTGGGCTAATAGTAATGGAAAAGATGGCATTCAAGAAAGGATGACTCGTTGAAACAGTTTTATCATCTCATTATAGTGAAATAATTTCCTCCCTGGTGATGTATATTTTATGTCTTTCTAAAAACCGAGGACATCTTTACTCCATTTGGGGTTGCCTCACTATGTATTTTAACTCAACTTAGCTTTTAAAATTTACTTCAAATTTTATGACAGCTATTAGATTTTGGAAGCTCCTTAGCAAATATTGCTATCATCTTACAAATCATAATATATAGCTATCAAAGCACTTACATGCCTGGTGTTATTTTAAGTGTTCTACAAACATTAACTTACTTAAACCATATGACCTAGGTATTCCTATTACCCCAAATTTACAATGAGGAAATGAAAACACAAAAAGGTTAGTAACTTCCCAAAGGTAGACAGTAAATAGCAGAGCTGGGATTTGATCCCAGGCAGTCTGACTTCATAGACCATGTTCCTAATCCATTGCCTTTGCCTATTGTGTGACTTAAAAAAAATTTTTTTTGTAATCACTATCAGTTTACTATTCCTGTATTCCAACAGAAATATCAGTGTCCCTGACTTGTCCCATGGAAACCCTGGTGGTGCAGTCGTTAGGAGCTACGGCTGCTAACCAAAAGGTTGTGGTTCGAATCCACCAGGCGCTCCTTGGAAACCCTATGGGGCAATTCTACTCTGTCCTATAGTGTCGCTATGAGTCGGAATCGACTCGACAGCAACGGTTTCTTTTTGGTTTTGACTTGTCCCAGGCAAATTCTAAATGTAACCTTTTGTGTTTGAATCTACTTAAACCACTATCGAGGTTGATTTTCTTTTAGTTTATATCACAGCAGTTTTTATCTTGATTATTTATTTTCATTGTTGTATGTCTTTTCTCACTGGAATGCGGAGGAATTTGGATAGAAGACAGGGAGAAGGCGATGTTGTTCCTGGACAGAAAAACTGAATTAAGGTAGAAAGCAAGGATGATCTTTGGGATCTGGGAATGATAGTACCATGTTTTATGCACACAATGTGCTCCTTCTGCGTTTGTTTGCCAGCCGTGCCCTCCTGCCATGAGGATTTTCATAAACACACTATGCTGATTTTTTTACAGCAACATGTGGAAGAGGATTGGCATGGCGGTGCTTGTGAGGGTGCCTCGCGGGGAGAGGGCTCAGCTAGCAAACAAACGCAGAAGGCGTGTGTTATTTGCATAAAATATAGTGTATGTGATTGAGCCAGTAAAGAGGACTCAGGCCATGGATAGCTTTGAAACCTGGGTAGAAGGGGTTGGACCAGAGATGGCAGGAATCAGTGAGTTACTGTGTGTGAATGTATGTCGTGTGTGTGTGCATCACTTATAAAGTGCTGTCAGTCGGAATCAACTCAATGGCAACAGGTTTGGTTTTGGATCTGGATTAAATGAGATAAAGAGTATAAAGTACTTATCTCAGTTCTTGGCTTATAATAAGCAGTCACTAAATTGTAGCTAAATTATTATTATTACTATCAATAATAATAAAAATAGCTACAATTATTATATTCTACTACTAATAATAATAGCAGAGAAAGTTTTGCCTTGAATTTTTAATCTGGATAAATAGTCTCATTCTGGCTTATTTATCTCAGGTCTATCTAATTTGCCTTTATAAAGTTGAATACAGTTTAACCATAATAGTGTTAAAATAAACACCCAGGACTTCTGTAAGACAAAATCAGCAGACCCCACATATACTCCAGCAAAGAAAATATGTTGTTTTAATGGCATAGCTACACACAGATATCAAAAATAATCACATGATAAAGTTTTCAGGTGACTAGCCTATCTATATTTAATTAAAAATGTGCTATTTGCAACTCTACGGCATCCAGTTATAGCTTTTTGATTCCCCATGGAGGATATTTTGCAGAAATTCAGCTGGTATGAAAACAGGCATTTCCCAAAGGGATAAACAGAAAAGTCATAGTGACCTCCACAAGATCCTCTATAAACTTCAAAGAATATGAGAATGTCTGTAATTTGTGTGTGTGTGTGATGATAGGGGAGGTGAAGTATAAACAAACCATAGCTCAAAAGCCCTTTAGTACTTTAACACTAAAAAAAAAAAAAAAAAAGTCTAGTTATAGCACACCGATTTCTTTAGCACAATGTATTTTATACTAGATATTCTTCAAACAACTTCCCAGAGTTAAATAGTACAATTTGTAATTAAATATTATGCTAGACAAAGAAAAATAGGCCGAGGTTCTAAATGAGCTGGATGTTGATGGAGAAGGCCGAACAATGTCTTCTGTAGAGGGAAAGACTAAAGAGTCAAGGAGGAAAAAAATCATCTAAACACAGGAAAGTGGAGGCAGAGTGAAGGGAGAAAATAATGATTCAAGTCTTTTGACAATTTTAACGCCAACAATTTGAATTCGAAAAATTAGTCAGAAACTACTGAAATTCATCTACACAGTTTATATTATTGCTTCTGTCCACCAATGTAGATAGAAGACATTTCCTTTATGCAACACTATGGGTCTACTCCAACTAATTAACAGAAAGAAAAGTGAGCTACTCACACACACACACACACACACACACACACAAAAGCACTACATTTGTTGCTGGAACACTGGATTAATCTCTTAACAAAGTCAAATATTTATAACTCCCTTTGCCCTTAAACCTTGGGATCAATCAGTCTTTCAGCCATATTCTCCTTTCTCCTCATCTCCTGTCTCCTTTTCTCTTCTGTCTAAGCCTGTGATTCCAGACATTCCATTCTCCACTCTGGACCCCTTACTCAATCGTCCATCTTAAGTGGGGCTTTGTGGACCCAGACACTCTTTTTCTTATCCTGTGGTCTTTGTAGCCTGCTGCCAAAACATCCTTTGCCTTCCTGAGGGCCTCTGTGTAACTTGTGACACGGGCTGAGTTTCTAGCAACAGGATTAACTTTGGGTGAAAGTGCACCGTGTGCTTTGAGTGCCGGCCACTGTTTGCTCTTCTAGTTGGCAAACTGCAC